TTCGGCCATCCTGCTGCGAAAATTTCGAAATTTTTATATGTAGTCAAAGGCAGCCGACCACACGAGGTTTTGAAGGTGAAACAAAAGAACATAATTGGTGAGACGGTCGGCACTCCAACCTAAACCGTAACCCATCGACCACGCCAGTATTTCCTACTGCCTGCCTTCAGAATGCCATCCTGAGATCAGGAGAGCGTTTGCAAAGCCAACTTCGTTTTCGATTGAAGACGAGTTGCACAAAGAGATCGTGTCGTTTTGTCATTTTGCTTTCTTGGCCAGGGGTGTCAAAACTCATTTCACATTGTGGGCCACATACGGCCTCGGTCGATGTCAAGTGGGCCGGACCAATAAAAATTATACCATACTCTGCTCGAAATAACCAAAATAATGTCTTTCCTTTGTTTTGGTCTAAAAATGCAAAAGAACACTAGGAAAATCTTGAAATTTAATGAACATATCTTTTACAAAACATTTCATGTAGCACCTAAGATTTCCTTAAACAAATGTGCAATTTACTTTTATCATTCACAGACATGCATTGCAACTGATCCCACTGACTGTACAAAGGCACAAAACCTTAACAATTGGTCTTGAAAAATATAGCGATGCACTTTTAAGATTAAACGAGATTTATAAAGAAAGGAATTTTTAAACCATTTACACGATCATATAAAATCTAAATGTAATCCCTGCCTACACCTTACAAACTAAGGACAATGCTATAATATGTGTAAAGAATAAAGTATTCACATGTCCTTGATAGCGTCTGCTGTGTTGGGTCTGTCTCAGTGACAGACTGAAGCTGCTGTTGTCTTCTTCTCTGATCAAAACAATGTGAACCCTGAGCAAATATTCTATGAATTGCACCTTATTAAAAATATTCATTCCGTGTTGTTTGTGCATTTTTTCACTTTTAAATTATCCTGCGGGCCTGATCAAACCTCCTTGCGGGCCGGTTCCGGCCATGTGTTATACACCCCTGATGTATAGTAAGGCGTATTTAGCCGAAAAAAAACGACATGGTATAGTAAGGCGTTTTTAGCCGAAAAAAACGACATAGGATCGTCAGGCGTTTTTAGCCGATATTATGACCATGTATAGTAAGGC